TCAAGTAGACCGCCACCCCCACTTCAACTCTTCGCTTAGCCTGTGCTCTCAGCCTAGAATGTACTTCACTCAGTTTTCATAAGGAGAAAACTGCTCAAGATACAGCTCAACTGCCAGCCCATCACCAAACTTCTCGCCTAATTCCCCAAATCCAGAATTAGTGGCTTCTTTTTGTACAGGCGTACCTTGGAGATATTGCTGGTTCAGGTCTAGGCCACAGCAATAAAGCAAATATCACAATAAAATAGTCAAATGAGTTTTTTGGTTTCCCAGTATATATAAAAGATATGCTCACACTATACTGTAGTTCATTAAGTGTGCAATGATAGCATTATGTCTAAAAAACAATGCACATACCTTAGTTAAAAATATATTGCTTAAAAAATGCTATCAGCTGAGCTTTCAGCAAGCTATAATCACTGATCACAGATCACCCTAATAAATAAAATAATAATGAAAAAATTTGAAGTATTGCAAGAATTACCAAAATGTAACACTAAAACTCTAAGTGAGCAAATGTTGTTGGAAAAATGGTGTCATAGATTTGTTTGGTGTGGAGTTGCCACAAACCTTTAATTAAACAAAAAAATACAGTATCTGCAAATTACAATAAAGTGAAGTGTGATAAAGTATGTCAGGGCACCTGGGTGGCTCAGCGGTTGAGCATCCGCCTTTGGCTCAGGGCATAATCCTAGGGTCCTGGGATCGAGTCCCACATCAGGCTCCCCACAGGGAGCTTGCTTCTCCCTCTGCCTGTGTCTCGGCCTCTCTGTGTGTGTCTCTCATGAATAAATAAATACAATCTTTAAAAACAAACAAATAAACAAGGTATGCCTGCAGAGATGGAGTTATTCCTAGTACTTTACCCAGGAAACAGCCCATCATCTCCTCTGCACTGTACTGTCCCTGCATCAGCCACTGTGGCAGCCATAAAAAGTGGGAAGGACAGAAAAAGCAGCTCTCTCCTCCCCACGCAGGAGCATGCATTCCCCAGAGGATAGCAAACAAGGCCTCTGTTGTTCAAATATTCAGACAAAATATTACCCAAGTTGTATTCTAGGAAATGATTTCTAAGCCTACAAAGATCTGTCCATCGTTTCTGGCTGATTTCTCAAGCTCAGAGATAAAATACGAAGTTTGTAATTCACATGCTATAAATAAAAGTACCCCTGCCTCCCAAATTGCTCATTTTGTTAAGCAACCACTTTTTTTTTTTTTTTAATTTTGTTGAAAGCCATTTATACTTTGGGAGCCATTCACATTTCTACCTGAGGATTTAGGCTTGCAGAATACACAGCCGGGTCTGGACTGTGAGAAGATTTTCCCACATGGTGAGTTGGTGGTGTCACCACTGGACAAAAGGACATTATTCATCCTGCTTTAATTAAGACAAAAAGGAGTAACAAAAAATATCAGTCGTAGGGTTCATTAAAAATAACTGCAATGTCTGCTGTAGTTCAGCAATAGCCATCTGACACTTTAAGTCAATGTTTAATGACCCATAGGACTGTAAACCTTTGTGACTTAAAGAAAATAGGTCCCTCTCTCCAAGTGCCACCTTCTTGGAAATCCACATTGTTACCCACGGGTCTTTCCTTTCTTCTCCTAAGACTGGCTATCATCCATCATCTGAAGCCCATTCAGGCCTGACTGTGCATCATGCAGTTGGGGGCACCACACTCAGTTCTCTGCCTTCTTGGCATCTGGTCCAGCTCGGCGCTCCACGTGCAGAACACAGAGACCAGTCATGACCTCAGATATACGCCCAGAGGTAAATCCAACATATGCAAAATGAGAGTTTTCTTCTTTTTCACATGGGCTTGTGTAGGGGCAGCTCCTTTGACATTTATTCTGTCTTGGTGACCATCCTGGAAAGTCAAGGACTTCTATCTGCATTTGGCAAGTGACCACACTCAGAGGGCAGAGGAGCTCAGTGGTTTGCCCACGTTCATGCTGCTGGACCAAGTGACTGGAGCAGGAAGAAAATCATGTGTTCTGATCCTGCTTCCAGAGCCGCCCCCCACAGCCCCTTCCACCCCATCTCCAGGGCTGCCCCGCCCCCCACAGATCTGGGAAAGCCAGTGAGAGACTGACAAGATGAGGACCCCTTGAAGGGAGAGGCGAGCCTAAGACTGGGTTGAGGTGGGGGAGACGGGGAGAGGTTTGGTGAACCATATCAGCTTGGACGGGAAGGTGGGAGGGAAGGGTGGAAGTGGTTGACAAATCCAGCATCATCAGCCCAGGAAGGTTCTGCAGGGAAGGAGATTTTCAGAAACCCTTTATGAAGAAACCTCCCCCCTTGTAAGTAGGGCCAGCCCTAACCCAGAGGCAGCCCATCCAGGCGCCTTCCTGAAATTTTAGCAACTAAAAGCATTCTGTTTACAATAAGAAAACCATTTCCCCCCCACACCCTGATTGGAATGTCCCTGAATAGGTTCATGTTGACCCTCCGTGAAATCAACCTGGATGCCATGCGACTCCCGCGGTTCTATTGTCTTTAGGCGGTTTCTTTCCTTTTGCCTTTAAAAGATCCCTGTAATTACTAATCCGGGCTCTTTTCCTCCTCGGAGGCGGAGAGCCCGTTTGCGCAAACGTTCAATAAACCCTCTTGCTAATTGCATCTGCCTGTCTGGGGTCTGGGTCTCTGGGGCGTCCACCGGGACACGTTGGCACCCGTGAGCCAGGGTCCAACATTTGGGGGCTCGTCCGGGATCTGGGACGCCCCAGACTCAATCCTAAGACCGGTAGGAGGTAAGACCGAGCTCGCTAAATGTCATATCTGTCTCGTCCGTTTGTCTGACTGGCCGGGTCTGTTTTGTGCCGGGTCTGTATTGTGCCTGCAGGACGCTGTACTCTGTATTCTGTATTTGGACCAGCGGGGGAGGCGGACGTGCCCGAGACCCCTGGTCCCCCTCCGGAGTCGGACTCCGGAGTGGTCTGGAAGAGGAACGGAGCCCCGGCACTCCCTCCTCTTCGGGGAGGGTCGTGTTCGCGACCGCTCCCATCTGAATCTGCTGCGCCAGTCCTGTCGTTCGTGTGCGTCTGTTCGTTCCGTGTTTTTCTTCCTTTCCTGTCCTCCTCCTCACTGCTCACCCCTTCTCTACACCCATGGGGCAGACTGTAACCACCCCTTTAAGCCTCACTCTAGATCACTGGAAAGAAGTCGCCGGCCGGGCACACAATCTTTCGGTTGAAGTCAGAAGACGAAGATGGGTCACCTTCTGTGCCTCAGAGTGGCCGGCTTTCAACGTCGGGTGGCCCAGGATAATATTGACATTATCTTGCAGGTGAAGGCCCCGGTCTTTCAGCCAGGACCCAATGGACACCTCGACCAGCCGACCTGGGATGACCGCCAACAGCTCCTGCAGACTCTCCTCACCACGGAGGAGAGACAGCGCATCTACCTCGAAGCTCGGAAAAACGTCCCGGGGGCAGATGGGAGGCCGACCCGGCTGCCTAATGAGATTGAGGATGTTTTCCCCCTTGGTTCGCCCGACCTGGGACTACGACACTACCAGCAGGTAGGGCGCAGCTCCGTCTGTATCGCCAGGTACTCTTAGCGGGTCTCAAAGGGGCAGGGCGTCGCCCCACCAATTTGGCAAAGGTACGTGCTATATAGTGCAGGGAAAAGATGAGACGCCGGCAGGTTTTCTGGAGAGGTTAATAGAAGGCTATACTGGCCACCATAGTACAGGGCTCAGGGCAGAGTAAGTCAGGACAGAGTAGGGACCTGGGAGACAAAAGAGGACCACGGGTTGAACGAGACCAGTGTGCCTACTGCAAGGAAAAAGGACATTGGGTTAAAGATTGCCCAAGGAAGGGCCAAACGCAGGGACCTAAAAAGAAGCCCATTCCTGTTTTGTCCCTAGAAGATGAAGATTAGGGGTGTCAGGGCCAGGAACCCCCCCCCCGAGCCTCGGATAACCCTTAAAGTGGGGGGACAGCCGGTGACCTTCCTGGTCGATACAGGGGCTCAACATTCAGTTTTAACTGAGGCAAAAGAACCTTGAGCTCTAAAACGTCTTGGGTTCAGGGGGCAACTGGAGGCAAGTTATATCGATGGACAACCGAACGGAAAGTCCACCTGAGCACTGGGCAAGTAACGCATTCTTACTGGTCCCAGACTGCCCTTACCCTCTCCTAGGCAGAGACCTTCCTTCAAAAGTAGGGGCCCAGATACATTTTCAGCAAAAAGGGGCCACTATTACTGGCGCAGGAGGGCAGCCCCTCCAGGTACTGACCTTGCGCCTAGAGGATGAACACCGGCTGCACGAGGACTCTCCACCGTCCGTGCAGCCCCTAGATTCTGAATGGCTCACTAACTACCCTCAGGCCTGGGTGGAAACGGCCGTAATGGGACTAGCTGTAAACCAGCCGCCCTAATTATAAACTTAAAACCCTCAGCCACCCCCATATCGATCCGGCAATATTCAATGAGCAAAGAGGCCAAAGAAGGCATTCGGCCACATATACAGAGACTATTACAATTGGGCATTTTAATACCTTGCCAGTCACCCTGGAATACTCCTCTATTACCCGTAAAAAAAAAAAAAAAAACCAGCACAGGAGATTACCGGCCGGTACAAGATTTACGAGAGGTTAACTGGAGGACAAAGGACATACATCCCACGGTGCCGAATCCCTACAACTTGCTCAGCACCTTATCCCCGAGCCCTGTCTGGTATACCGTGTTAGATCTAAAAGATGCATTCTTTTGCCTAAGGTTAAGCTCTCAAAGCCAGCCTATTTTTGCCTTTGAATGGAAAGATCCTGAGACGGGATTCTCAGGACAACTCACTTGGACAAGGCTGCCACAGGGATTCAAAAACTCCCCCACTTTGTTCGATGAAGCCTTGCATCGGGATTTGGCAGATTTCCGAATTGGCCATCCGGACCTCGTCCTCCTGCAGTATGTGGATGATTTGCTCCTGGCGGCTAGGACAGAACAGGATTGTGTAAAAGGTACGGGGGCCCTGCTTGAGAGACTGGGGGAACTGGGGTATAGGGCCTCCGCCAAAAAGGCCCAAATAGGCCAGAGACAAGTGACCTATCTGGGATATCTCCTGGAAGGAGGCCAGAGGTGGCTGACGGAGAGCCGCAAAAAGGCTGTAGCCCTGATCCCAGCACCCACTAATGCCAAAGGACTACGAGAGTTCCTCGGCAGTGCTGGGTTCAGCCGCCTCTGGATACCCGGGTTTGCGGAGATGGCGGCTCCCCTATATCCTCTCACGAAATCCAACACCCCCTACCACTGGGGAAAGGAGCAACAATTGGCTTTTGACAAAATAAAAAGGGCCTTATTGACCGCCCCTGCCCTGAGCCTCCCAGATGTAACCAAGCCTTTTACACTATATGTTGATGAACATAATGGAATAGCCAAAGGGGTCCTAACTCAAAAACTGGGACCCTGGAAAAGGCCCGTGGCATACTTTTCAAAAAAATTAGACACCGTGACTGCAGGATGGCCCCCATGTCTCCGAATAATAGCGGCTATGGCAGTCCTGGTAAAAGACTCAGACAAGTTGACTTTCGGCCAAGCCCTCACTGTGGTGGCCCTCCACGCCGTAGAGACAGTCATCCGCCAGCCCCCTGATCGATGGCTCTCAAACGCCCGGGTCACCCATTATCAGGCCATGTTACTGAATTCTGAGCGGATACGGTTTGGAACGGCTACATCTCTAAACCCGGCCACCTTGCTTCCAGAAACCGAGTCCCCCTCCCTAGTAATGCATGATTGCCACCAGATCCTAGCTGAAGTCCATGGCACCAGAGGGGACTTGACGGACCAGCCTTTGCCGGATGCTGAAGCAACCTGGTACACCGATGGGAGTAGCTTTCTACGAAATGGTGAGCGTAAAGCCGGGGCAGCCGTGGTAGATGGGAAAGCTGTCATTTGGGCCAGTGCCTTAGAGCCTGGGACTTCAGCTCAAAGGGCAGAGCTTATAGCCCTAACTCAGGCCCTAAGAAAGGCTAAGGACAAAAAGGTCAACATTTATACTGACAGCAGATATGCTTTTGCAACTGCCCATGTTCATGGAGAAATAAACCGTAGAAGGGGTCTCCTAACCTCAGCAGGTAAAAACATCAAAAACAGAGAAGAAATACAAGATCTTCTCCATTCCCTCTTTCTGCCGAGAAAACTGAGTATAATTCACTGTCCTGGGCATCAGCGAGGCAATGACCCAGTAGCAGAGGGGAACAGGATGGCCGATGAAACAGCACGGGCCGCTGCACTAGGCCCACAGGCCCTCTCCCTACAAGTACCAGAGGCTGTCCGGACACCGGGGCAACTCTCTCTCGAGTACTCAGACAGCGACCTAGATATCGTCCAGCAAATAGGGGCAAAATATGACGAGCAAATGAAGGTCTGGAAACACCAAGGGAAGACGGTCCTGCCCCAGAAAAGGGCCAAAGAACTGGTGACTCACCTCCACCGATGGACTCACCTCGGACACAAAAAATTAAAAGCACTCCGCCAGAGAGAAGGTCAGACCTATTACATTCCCAAACTCCCCTCCCTGATCCAACAGGTAACCGACGCTTGTGTACCTTGTGCTAAGGTAAATACCAAACACCTCAAGATGCCTGAGGGAACCAGGATGGGGGAGAAAGACCCGGAACTAATTGGGAAGTAGACTTCACCGAAATCAAGCCAGGTAAATATGGTAACAAGTACCTCCTAGTGTTTATAGATACCTTTTCAGGCTGGACAGAAGCATTCCCCACCAAGCGAGAAACCGCCCAGGTGGTTGTCAAGAAAATCCTGGAAGATATTTTCCCCCGGTTTGGACTGCCCAAGGTAATAGGGTCGGACAACGGCTCCGCCTTCGTCTCCCAGGTAAGTCAGTTGGTGGCCAGATTACTGGGGATAAATTGGAAATTACATTGTGCATACAGACCCCAGAGCTCAGGTCAGGTAGAAAGAATGAATAGAACAATTAAAGAGACCCTAACTAAATTGACATTGGAGACTGGCACTAGAGACTGGGTCCAACTCCTCCCTATGGTTCTGTTCCGAGTCCGGAACACTCCCGCGCGCCATGGGCTAACTCCTTACGAGATTCTCTATGGAGGTCCCCCACCAGTAACGAACTTACTAGATTCTGCTATTGACCCTCTTGTTAACACTCCCGGTTTACAGGACAGGCTAAAGGCGCTCCAGATTATCCAGCACCAGATCTGGAAACCCCTTGCGGCTGTCTACCGCCCCCTGAGACACAACCAGCCCACACCCGTTCCAGATCGGTGACTCCGTCTACGTCAGGGGACATCAGTCCAGGACGCTTGAGCCCCGCTGGAAGGGCCCATATACTGTACTACTGACCACCCCAACCGCCTTAAAGGTAGACGGCATTGCTGCTTGGGTCCACGCCTCACACGTCCAGCGCGCCCCATCAACAAGCACCGCTGATGCCAGCCAGGAGCCAGGACGGACCGGACGAGCCACTCCAATGGAAGCTCCACCGCACCCAAAACCCGCTCAAGATAAGACTTTCAAAAATTGTTCAATGACAGTTGTTATATTCCTACCTCTCCTAGCGCTCTTCACCTCCGCCAAAGGTGACCCTCATGCCCTCAAAAGGTTAACCTGGCAGGTACTAACGTCTGGGGGTGACGAGGTCCGGTCTATAACTAAGACCGCCCCCGTGGGAACCTGGCGGCCTGACCTATATCCTGACCTATGCAAGCTAACCATAGGGGCCCCTAGCCCATGGGACCTAGAGGGATACTTCGACACCTCTAGAGCCCCTAACCAAGAAAGCCCTCCAGGGCGACTGGGATTAGACCCATGGGGAGGATGTGGCACGCCTGACAGTAGGGCCATGCTAAGCACTCTTCCCTTTTATGTCTGTCCCGGGCACCACAGAGATCGCAGGCTAAATCCCACCTGTGGAGGAGGGGAATACTTCTATTGTAAAAATTGGGGGTGCGAAACTACGGGGGATACAGAATGGAGGCCCTCCTCCTCCTGGGATTATATCACTGTCAAGGCTAACTATACTCACCCGACATTTAGCAAATGGAAAACCCTTAATTATGGGCCCTGCCAAGGGTGGTGTCATCCCCTACAGATACACTTCACGGAGCCCGGAAAAAGGGCTACTTACTGGGCCAATGGATATACGTGGGGATTCAGGTTATACAAAGAAAGAACAGATGATGGTTTTATATTCAGAATTAAACTAAAAATAGAATCCCCAGACCCCGTGGCGATCGGGCCTAACGCGGTCCTCGGGCAACAAAGAGCTCCTGCTAAACTACCAGCCCCGGCCCTAGCCGCAGGGAGTGCCGCACCCACTAACTTCGTGGTCACTCCAACCCCTCGGTCGTCACCCGAGACGGGACGACTGTTTAATCTTATCATAGGGGCATTCCTGGCCCTTAATCGAACCAGCCCCGATGTAACTAAATCCTGCTGGCTCTGCCTTGCATCCCCCCCCTTATTATGAGGGAATTGCTACTTCAGGGACCTATAATAACATCACTAGCACTCAGGGATGCACACCCGAACTCCCAACCACAACTCACCCTTACAGAAATTTCAGGACAGGGAACCTGCATAGGGGCTACCAGAGACTCTGCAACACTACCACCCCGATTTTGGGGACTGATTCTTACCTGGAGCCCCAGCCGGGAACTTGGTGGGCATGCAACAAAGGCCTCACCCCCTGTGTGTCGGCTAAGGTTCTAAATAGCTCAAACGACTTCTGTGTCCTGGTGCAGATCATACCCAGGGTGTTCTATCACCCTGCTGAAACTCTAGAAGATCAGTATGATAAACATCCCACCCGTTTTCGGAGCGAACCTGTCTCCCTAACCTTAGCCGTTATGTTGGGACTAGGGGTCGCTGCTGGGGTGGGTCCTGGCGCAGCTGCTCCGATCCAGGGCTCACGGCGTTATATACAACTCCAAACAGCTGTAGATGAGGACCTAGGGACACTAGAGCAGTCCGTTTCTAAGTTAGAACAGTCCCTCCCCTCACTTTCAGAAGTAGCACTTCAAAACAGGAGAGGCTTGGATTTACTATTCCTGAAAGAGGGAGGACTGTGTGCGGCCCTGGGAGAGGAATGCTGTTTCTATGCAGACCATTCTGGAGTCATCAGAGACTCCATGGCCAAACTCAGGGAAAGGTTAAATAAAAGACAAAGGGACCGGGAGGCCCAGCAGGGCTGGTTTGAAAGCTGGTTTAATCAGTCTCCCTGGTTGACCACCCTAATCTCTACCATTCTGGGCCCTCTAGTTATCCTGCTCCTGCTGCTAACTTTCGGCCCCTGCGTCCTCAACCGGCTGCTCCAGTTCATCCGAGAAAGATTGTCTATTACCCAAGCTCTGGTATTAACTCAGCAATGTCGGGCCCTCCAAACTGAAGAAATAAATGTTCCCTAAGATTTTAAGGTTAAAATCAGCCCAAACAAGAGGAGGGAATGAAGAAACCTCCCCCCTTGTAAGTAGGGCCAGCCCTAACCCAGAGGCAGCCCATCCAGGCGCCTTCCTGAAATTTTAGCAACTAAAAGCATTCTGTTTACAATAAGAAAACCATTTCCCCCCACACCCTGATTGGAATGTCTCTGAATAGGTTCATGTTGACCCTCTGTGAATCAACCTGGATGCCATGCGACTCCCACGGTTCTTTTGCCTTTTGGCGGTTTCTTTCCTTTTGCCTTTAAAAGATCCCTGTAATTGCTAATCAGGGCTCTTTTCCTCCTCGGAGGCAGAGAGCCCGTTTGCGCAAACGTTCAATAAACCCTCTTGCTAATTGCATCTGCCTGTCTGGGGTCTGAGTCTCTGGGGCGTCCACCGGGACACATTGGCACCCGTGAGCCAGGGTCCAACATTTACATTATGGGACTGACTTGATGTGTGGTAAGGTGAGGAAAGAGGGGAATGAAACTGCAGGGTCTTGCTTTTTTATTCTGGTTCCCATTTAATTTTAAAAGATACATCCAGGGGCACCAGTGTGGTTCAGTGGTTGAGCATCTGCGTTCGGCTCTGGTAGTGATCCTGGGGTCCTGGAATCGAGTCCCACATCAGGCTCCCTGCATGGAGCCTGCTTCTCCCTCTGCCTGTGTCTCTGCCTCACTCTCTGTGTCTTTCATGAATAAATAAAATCTTTTAAAAATAAAATAAGGGATGCCTGGGTAGCTCAGCGGTTGAGCACCTGATTTTGGCCAGGGTGTGATCCTGGAGTCCTGGGATCAAGTCCCACATCAGGCTCCCTGCATGGAGCCTACTTTTCCCTCTGCCTGTGTCTCTGCCTCTCTCTGTGTGTCTCTCATGAATAAATAAAATCTTAAAAAAAATAAAAATAAGAATAAAAAATAAAATAAAAGATACATCCTGGGTGGAGAACCCCAAATGCCCCTTCAGCTCTCCTCTCTTTTTCCTGCCAGAACAGGAGCAAAGTTCCTGGGGCCCGGGGCTGCATAAAGATGCCTGGAATCAGCAGTGAGCTCTGTCAGTCTCGCCTCTGTCCTCTGCCAGCCTGTGAACTGGGGTTACAAAGCAGCTGTCACAGTAACTTGACTAATTAAATTAGAACCCACTGAATGCTTTATTGACCTGAAACTCACTCCAGTGAGCAGGCCCAGTTAAAAGGTGACTATGTTCATGGCTGTGAGTTAACAGATTAAATAAAACAGACAAAGATAACGATGGGCAAGAGGAAAAGTCCTGTTACTGTAAACAAAGTGTGTGAAGCACAGCTGCCAGGGTGTGTGACATGTAGATGTGTCTCAGGCATGAATTGGGGTAAATTGTGGGTTGCCCCCCCATTCAAATACCTATGTTGAATGTGACCTTATTTAGAGAGAGAGACTTTATACAGGCAATCAAGTTTTAAAAAGGCCATTAAGATGGGCCCTAATCCAATATGACAGGTATCCTGAAAATTAGGGGAAATTTGGATAGAGACACATCAAGGGAAGATGTACAAAGAGACAAAGGCAGAAGATGGCCATCTACAAGCCAAAGAGAGATGACTGGAACAGATCCTGCCCTCACAGTCCTGCCAACACCTTGAGTTTGGATTTCTAGCCTTCAGAACTGAAATAAGACATTTCTGCTGTTTAAGCCACCCAGTTTCTGGCATTCTGTTATAGCAGCTCTTGCCAACTAATACATCTGAAGACATATAAGAGGCAGAAAGACACCTGGGTGAGGACTTTTCATAAGAACAATAAAAAGAGCACCAGCTCTGAACTCAAACAAACCTGGGCTGGGACCCTGACTTCCTATTACCAGCTGTGTGCCCTCAGGCAAGACACGCAACCTCTCTGTACCTTGATTCCTCATCTGTAAAACAGGGACAATAGTATCTTCTTTGGGGCACCTGGGTGGCTCAGTGGTTGAGCATCTGCCCTCGGCTCAGGGCTCAGGACGTGATCCTAGGGTCCTGGGATTAAGTCCTGATTGGGCTCCCCGCAGGAGCCTGCTTCTCCCTCTATGTCTCTGTCTCTCTCATGAATAAATAAATAAAATCTTAAAATAATAACAATAATAATCTTCCTCAAAGGAGTGGTTTTAGAATTAAATGTGAAAACACAGTCTTTGGCTTAGACTCAGGTTGCACACGGCCCCTCAGCAATTAAGCACAGT